AATGTCGTCGAAGTCACCGGCACAGTGGCGGCAGATGCAACGGTAATAACGATCGTGCGTTTCATCTGTCTACGTGGCGTCTTCTCCACCAGCCTGTTTTAGATTCGTGTAGACGAGCAAAACGACACCGTTTCGATATTGTGATGATAATTTTTCGTTTTTCTAAAAAGATTACAAGATCCGTTACATCGTTATGAATAGAGATGAAGCGTGTAAGTAGGTTAGGATATAAACAAAATTTTTTACAGATATTTGGAAAGAGAGAATTGTGGTTTTAACTTTTTTCAAGACTGGTATAATGATACAGAGGCAATTTTTTTTATGGATTGCTCGGTTATTTTTATAATATTCTATTTTAAAAATTGCGATAAGAATAGAATAATTTATAAGTAAATTCATTTTTTTAAAATTAGATGATTTATTGGAATAATTTTTAAATAAATTGTTAGATTCTTGTAAATTCTAATGATATCCAATTTTGAAAATTATGAAAATGAAAATAAGATCAATATCGAATAACTTTATTACATCCTTTTCGAGATTGGTATAATATTCAAACAATTTAAAGAAAAATAAATAAAAGAAATTTCTACGATATATTAATTATAGGACACTGTATAATATAAATAATATTAATATGCAATTCTTGATCAATTTTTTTTTGCGTTTTTGTTGTTTTTCTCGAAATGACGATAGCTTATCAATCTTAAATCCCGTTAGATCGACTACGACGTCAATGACGATCGAAAGTAAATAACCTATTGCCGGAAGGAAATTGCGTAACTATTTCTCTCAGTATGCCCGAACGTTAGAAAGTTTCAAATATCTGGTATCGCGACTCGTTTCAAAAAGTTACCATTCAACTGCATCATTCGTGATACAATCAGATGTTTTGATTATTATAGCGACACTGTAATTCCGACAAGAATTTTGCCTTCTGTCATTGTTATTTTCATCATTTCTTACAATTGCATTATTCGACGCGAGAAGAGTTTTAGCGACAATCGTCAGTTTTTATATTTTTAGAAAAAAATATGAATTCCTTGGCCAACATTGACATACAAAACGTGTTGTAACTACGTGTCAGTTTACAATAATAGAATTTATAAAATATTTGCAGAAAAAAATGAATATAGAATTTAATTAAGTATTTTACTCAAAAAGACTTGCATCCAACGGTACAATTACGGAACTATTAAACTTTAAATGTTTTCTAGCATATAACAAAAAGTAATAATTGCAAAAAATGTAAAGTTTCTATATTTTTAAACGCTCGTTAACGTCTCACCTTAATGCTAAATATAACATTTTGCTGGAAAAAAAAATTAATGAGAACACTTACTTTTATCTTAAACAAAACATGGTAAATATGAATAACAAAAATGTTAACTGCATCTTAAAATATCCTTTTCTTAAAATCTTAATGGTCAAAGTTTTTAAACTTTACGTTAATTCGAATAGGTTTTTAGAACACATCTATCTCTTTCATAATTGGTCAGTACAATAATCCACTCTATAAATAGGTTAGTTTGTGGTCTTGATGCAAGATACCACTACATACTGCAAAATGTTAGACACGATGTCTGTTATCTGGTGAATAACGCGAGTGGAGAGCATCAACAACGCTCTTGTGTCGCAAAACGGAAAGTTATTGCGAAACGAGGAAACGATTATAGAAATGCAACACGGCAAAAGTGTATTATTTCTTATTATGTTGCGCAAAACTGTAACAGAACAGACTTGGTTGTGTGTCGTGAGTTCTATCGTCAAGCATTTCCCCAAGGAAATGTACGTCTGCATGATTCGCGCTGAGAATAAGTCGTAATTGTACTTCATTTAACTCGCGAGTTGTTGAGTTGAAAGGGACGTGTAATTGTGTTCATCCTTCTTCACCACGTAAACTGGAAATATTTTAAACGTGACAGTTTGTCTTGCGAGACACGATGGAAAAGTTGACGATATTGTTCGTTGCTTGCTAGCTTGTTTAGTTTCGCCTCCGTCCGCTGTTGATCATTACTCGAACAACTGGAGGTTTAGGTTAGGTTCGAAATGAATGCGTGATTTTTTTCAAATAGACAATAAAACGTTAATTAATTGTTAATTTGCATACGTGTTACATAAGATATATAATTTAAAAAATAACCGTAAAATTATGGAAGAGTAATTTCATCTTGTTATTTGAAAAGAAAGTTTGTTGCTAGGTGTAATTGAACATACAAACCAATGGCAAATTAATTATGTATTGTCTTCCTGGTTGTGTAACAAAATTTTTTAGTATTTAATAATTACTATAATTATAAAAGAAAATAATAATTGAGAATAATATACTGAAGTAAAAAAATAGTTCGTTATTACTTATAATTTTATTATTACTATATTACATGTCGTTAAATTCTTTCATAGAGAACAGAATTTGATGAACATGTAAAAATGTATGTTTAGAAATTTCCATTGCTATTCCATTCATATTACAAATTACCGTGTATTACAAATCCGAGTAATTAATTCGCAGAATTTATTATCGGCATTAATCAAAATCTACCGTTATTACTTGGAAGTTGCGTGTCTGAGGTAAGTTTTTGCAGAAACTCATTAGTACATCGTGTTATCGTTGAAACTTGAGTGCGTAATATAAATTAGTTATTGTCGAGGTATTATAATTTTCAGGAATTTTTTAGTTTTACTTATTTCCAAACATCTTTTCTTATCTAATTCTAGAATGGCGAGTGGCAAGGATATGATCTTGTTTACGATTCCTACGAGCATTTTGTGTTTCTCGAGTAACGCGCGATAACGACGAGAATAAAACGAAACGTTGCTCAAATGGGGAGGAAGAGGAAAAGACTTTCTCCGAGTGAGAAGATCCTTATTCGCTTTCCCTGATGTATCTGTCTATGTTTCTGCTACCAAAGGTTCGCTGTAAGGGCAACAATGTTGAGATACATAATCATTATTATATCTCTCTCTAAAAGAAAAATATCTAAAACAAAAATATTTTCAAATTTTTATTTGAAAAAAATTACAAAAAAATCATAAGAAATCATATATTATAGTAAGTATATCGAAAATATTAAATAAATTTCGATATTTTTAACAATATTATTCTTATATAAATTTCATTTTTCGAAGAAAATGTAGAATCAAAAATAAAAGTATTTTATTACAAAAAATTACACCTTTTTAAAAATAATAGAATATCTAAAAAAAATTTATTTTCTAACAGAGAACACATCATTATCATTTATCATTTTCTATAGCATACGAGTGCTTAAGTATTTTACATCGTTAAGATCGATATCATCGGATGATATGCGTCCTGCAACGCCTACCTGATGCTCCATTATGTATATCAATGTTAAGGTCGTCTCATCCCCAGTTGCCGCGTAATGGAAATTGGTGATCATCAACCCGCAATGTGGGTCAAGTTGATGTCCGGTTTCGTGAAACTGGAATACGAGCACCATGTCAAAGCTACATTGAAAAGTAGAATCATGCATCGGACACATGAAACACCTTTCTTTCCCTTTCAAAATATGAAGGAAATGATCGTGAAACACTCTCTAGCCCGACAGCAACGAGAAAACGAATATTTCTTGTTGTGTTTGGCGTGTCTTTCAACGCCAGAACAAATCAACACGTCAGGTTACATAACAACTATTCACCATATCGTGAAAAATATGCTCGATAGGTATATATGGAAGACTTTCACGGATGCTTTATCGCGGTGAACGGACAGGTTTGTATAGCCGATTTGAAAGAGGAGATTACCATTTGAGACGTTATCCGTTGCGATAAGATCGAGTGTATTTCGTATTTGAATTTACCGCCATTTTTAAATGACTTCACGAGTACGTCTGAGAGTTGAACAGGTTATTTTTTGAGATGAAATGGAATGAAAATCAAGAATGATGAAATTATATTTTATATTAGTTTTAATTTTCGATAGTTGGAAATTGACGAAAGTACTTCTGTGCGCGAGCAAGCCGCCATATTGGATTTGATCACTAACCTCTACAATAATCGGATCTCCGTTTTGTGACTTTCGAGAAAATTACAAAATAATTAAAGAATTACAATAAAATATCGATTATACGAATTTTATCTGAATTTTATCCAATTATTCGAATATACGATAAATATATATTCAAATTAGTATATTTAAAAATGTTTATATTCTAGGAAACGCATTCTTGGAACAGTATTTAAAAACGATTAATTTCTTTTGCAATGCATTTTTCTTACGAGGTACGTATATTCTTTTTATATCCATTATTAGAAAATTATTTAATTTTTAATTAATTTTACGTATTATCATTTTTACATGCAATTATTTACGTAACTCAATTTTTTTTTTTCTTCAAGAAATTGAACGTTAAATCACGTATTCAAATAATAAAATTAAAAAAAGTTAATCGGCTTCTGATTTAACCTTAAATCACGATTTGCCAATGATTTAGCCAATTTTGCTCGCCCAAAAATAAAGGAATAAAAGCATTCGGACCGGTCTACCGATACACGAAGGTAGGATCGATGACGATCGAAGGCACTTTCCATGAAATTCCTCGAGTCGCCTCCCGCCAGGTTTCATCATCGTACAACGAAAGAAATCGAAAACTATCCGCGTCGATGCATTCTTCCAGGTATCCAGATACACACGAGTATTTTTACACGGTCGAGAGGATATTCGAAAAGAGCGGTATTGTGCTCGAGAGCGAAAGTCATCGGTGATATTCACACGTGTCTTAGATTCCGGTTCTTGGCTGTCCTTAACATTGAACGGGCTGGTCGTGTCCGACCTTACGTCGGAGAGGATGTTTTGCAACTTCGAGATTTCACTTTGATACCCTGCATTCTTGCTGGCCACTGGAATCGTGTCCATCGCTTTAATCAGAGGAGACATCCTCTATAGAAATGGATTGATGATTAAAAAATGACGTTGCTTTCGTCGATAATATAATTGAGACACGATTGATTATGGAGAGAAAATGAAAAAAAATGTGAAGCTAATTTGAATACTGGATTTTGCATATTGCTTGCACGAAAGATATCATTTATTTAATTTATTTTATTTGGTAATTATTTTAATATCGTCTTAATATCTATATATATATCTATTCTCTATATATAATATAGAGAAGGCATTAAAGTCTTCAATCAGACATGATATAAAATAGGAAAAAGTTATAATAAAGCAAATCAAATATGTTTATAAAATTTGATGCAAATATTAATAAATTCATTAAATAATTCCACGTTAAATTCAATATTATACAAATACTTTTCCATATATATATATTTTCCAGTCAAGGTGAAAAATCATCCAAAGATAGAACTCGAAAGTGTGAAGCCATGAAATAAGATTTATTCTCTTGACCAAACCATTTCGAAATTTGAACGAGAAATGATCTCGCCACCTTAATTCGTTCATTTTCTCGCACCGTGACCCGCGTTCCAATTTACCATCAGAAAATGAATCGTGAAAGGGAAAGAGGATCGCCTAATTAAAATCACGGCAACGTGCACGCCTTCGTTTCCGTATCGTGGAAACACGAATTTAAGGAGGCGTAGATTCGATGACGCGATTGGAATAGAAAGCGGGCTGGGAGACAAGCCCGCGATACATCAACGTGCAACGTGATGTTAGGAAGGGACGTGTGTATAAAAAAAAATCGGCGCCATATCGAGCGAGAAGAGTCTGTTACGATCGAAAAGAGTGTATTCCGTTTCTACGATTCGGATTCGCTTTTACAAAATTGACTTTCTCTGGGGCACGGGTGTGTCCCCCCAAACCTATCGACGTGATCGAGATCGTTATTGACGATCCGGATTGTCCACGGATCTGGGATTGAATTGGTAAGTTTTTTTCTTTTATGGGTTTACAATCGATTTCTAGAAAGAGAGACTTGTTCTAATTTTTTTCTATCTTTTTATTGTAGGTAATTGTATCACTGTTGCTTGAAAAAAAGTTAATTACATGATGTAGGTACAACATTAGTTTATTCGTAAGAATAGGTTTATCTTAAATTATTCCTATTGTTTTAATTGTTTGTATGTTTCATATTGTAATTATTCGTGTTACAATTGATTTTGATTAAGAGGAATATTTGTTTGTTTAATTAAATATGTTTTCATTTCGTATTACTGATTATATTATATAGATACAAAATTATTTATTTGTCTGTTAGGTTATTACAAAGCGTGAGTTCATTTTGTGTTTTAGATTATTGTTATTGTTCTATATTGTTTGTATTTTGTATCAAAATTATACACATTGCGATTGAGTTTGTTTAATATATTTATTCATTTTATTAAATGGGCGTGTTTTATGTGAAAATAGAATTTAGTACAATTGTATGCAGAATTACACATTTGTATGTACATAACGCGCGAATGTAAATGTACGTTTATGTATGAATATACATAAGTGACTCGTTCGTCAAATCTTGTCATGTTGTATCAACAAGATCTCGAAAGGAGAATGCTTGTTTCCTTTCTAGAAGAAATATTCACAATTTTACCTGTGCTATTTGTCTATCTGATTTTTGAAACGCAGCAGTGAAAACGTGTCGTCCAAGAGACAATTTTTCCAAACAGCAGAAAAAAGTTCCTCGTTGTTACTCCATAGTTTGAACGAGTGAATACTACAAATTCACGCAACAGTATATTTAACCACAAACTCAAACCAGCTGAAAATCGATAAAAAAATTAATGCAAAAAATTCACAATCTGTCTCTGCCATTCAAATCGATTCTATTAGCAACAAATATTTTTTTATACACATATGAAGCTTTAATAACAAATTTTTCTCATTAACTTCTGAACGAGAATACACCTTAATCTTTGTGTTCTATCTATCCCAAAAATTTTTATTCCATCGATTGGACCACTCGAGCTAGGAAAATAATAAAAGTTCCGAGGTAAAATTTGCGAGAGTTTCGAATTCGTAAAATTCGTAAAATTCGTAAAAATCAGATTCCTATTTTTATCTATACGGATCTGACATCTATTTTTTTTTTTTTTTATACGAAAAGATCAAGATTGTGCAAAAAAAAAAATAATATTAAACTCAATCTATGAATAAAAGGATAGCCATGTACGCCTGGTATTGACATAGGCTTTAAGAATCGATGACGCACAAGGCGAGACTGGACGAGAAGCTACTCACGCATCGAGCCAACGTTCGTTACATATGCTACCTAGAACCCGAACATGGAGAAAGTTAAACTCGAATCCGGCATCGGCCACGGTGTAAATGCCCATTCGTGAAGGTGTGCGGCCTTTTAACGTTAAATCATCGCCCATGATCCATCGAAGGAATCCTTCGACATTCTCGCTGGAACCTTTCGTGATCTCGAAGAGCTCGAAAAAAACTCTCGAGACCGATCTCCT